GTGTGTGTTTGTTTGTGTGAGTGTGTGTTTGTGTGTGTGTGTGTGTGTGTGTGTGTACAGTCTCAACTACTTGCAATGCAGCCCCCACGTCTGCCAGACAAGGCTTGTCTCTCCTCGCATAGTTGAAGGTGGAGGATTTTTGTATATAATTCTATTGAACACGATTCTTGTGTCTGACAAAGCTGCGACCATATGTACAATGGACATTCCTGGTATCACACGCGTTTCCAAATATGTTGAGAATTGACGAGGTGCTGGTAGATACATAGAAAAACTACTGGCACACATATATATGACCATTCACGCTGACACTCGAAAGGTTTCTGCAAGTCTCTTTCTATCGCATGAAACTTTGTAGCATACGAGTCGTTGGTAGTCTGTTCATAGCGGGCTGTCTATCTGCAGTGTACACTTCTACTATGCTTTACAATATATTTATTGCGTCTATTCTGTTATAAAACAGGCGCCAGATCAAGAGCTTTGGCCCGGGGAGGGTACATTCTTCGGGTTGGGTTCATGTGTCAAGTTCCCGGCGGACTTCAGTAGAGGAATCTATTCTATTGTGGCCAGTGGGGTCACTACTTTGCCACAGAAAATGTCCGCTCCCTTCTCATTGATCAACACACCCTCAGAGACTATTGCTGGTTTGAGTCCGGCTTACAATGAGGTACCTATTCACATATGTGGCATATCTTTGTGAGCTGTTTATGCCTTTTCAGAACTAATTGCATGTATTCTGGTATTAGGTCATATCTGTATCAGTTACTTTTTTTTCTTGATGCCTGGTATTTGAATCTAGAGGTGTTGGTGTCTGGTATTGAAATATCATGTTTTGAGGTGAAACACGTGGTGTTTCAGTTCCTAGTTTGATATGCTGAACACAATGTTTACTTTATGTGATGTCTTTTAGAGATGTGAGCGCTCGAAATGCGTCGGTAGTGACTGTATCGTCATCTGTACTTTCTCATTCACAGCGTATTTTTACGGTTTATCGACAAACGAGGATTGCTCTTAGCTACTACACTATATCAAAGCAATCGTTTGACGAAATATTATTATAAGCAAAACCATGCATGAATTCGTGATCGATTATTAGTGGAAATTTGACTTAGGCTATCCGACTGTATTCTGAATATACTTCCTTTGTCTGCTCTCTGTTGCAGATTTTCCCTGGTTGGGTCCTCAGCGACAATATTTATACGATCCGCAGAAATGAGGGTAAATATAAGAAACGAAACAAGGCCAAACGCTCCACCTTCAACTTCAATGTGTTCCGCCCCGACACCGTAGATCTAATGCTGCAAGCACGCAAATATCTGGAGGACGCCAAGGATAAGGCGAGAGTGCGTAACAGTAAGGGTCATGCGATATACACAGACCGTGACATCCCTATACTCGGCAAAAACTATTGCACTGAGAGTGCTAGAAAAAGCGGAGTACACGCATTCACATTCTACTCTCAGTACTATGCGCTGTGTGGCCTGTATAAGCAGCTCACTAATGGCGCGACTCTGGTGGATGTTCTGGACAGAGATAGTGAGGACGAAGTATGGCTGCATCAGCGCCAGATCATTTTGGTAAGGTCTGCGATGCATATATGTATCAAATTCCATGCAAATTCCATGCAAATGTACCATGCATAGACGTACTGCAGTTTTGAGTTTGCTTGTATATACCTGGTTGTAAACATGTCTCGAGTTTTATTTGTGTTTTGGTAACATTTGAGTTAAATTTGCACTAGACCAGATTCATATGCTACTCATATGAGGCGAGGAATTATTTGTGTACACCCATAATATTGCACTATATCCGGATGCCTCTTGTCAGCATATAATGTGGAATCATTGATGACCGATTCATACAAAATAATGGTTATGCTTCGCCGTCTTACTAACTCTTTAGAGAAACTATTTCGGAACATATCGGCACATAGCGCTTATATATGTGAACAAAATATGGCTTGCCTCCCATCACATAGCGATTAAAATGGATATTGCCTACTTTCTTATCCCAGAGCGAGGCGACCTTAGAAGGCCTAGATATCATCGAACTGCTCGAGCGTCTGTCACGCATGAGAGAGGCTATCAACGATGACGTCAGAATATCCAAGGAGAAAGACGATGTGAGGGGAAAGAAGACTATCCCCGACTACGCTCACGCACATACGGCTGCCGCACAAGATGGGTTTGTAACCGAAACGGCACGTGTTACCAAGGAGCAGTGCGAGGCCATCGCAGAACTTATCGAATCGCTCAAACTTTAACTACGAGCTGGTGTTTAATTATGTAATTCTCAAGTAACAAGAATAAAACAAGTGTAGACAAGGAATTCTATATTCACATTTCCAAGTACAGTACTAAATTTCTAGGTACTTTTCATGGGCTGGCAATTGAAGAGCAACCCAAGTTTTACATTTCTAAGTGCAGTATTAAATTCCTAGTTATTTTTGTGAGCTGGCAATCGATGAGTTCGAGTTTACGGTTGCATACACTGCACCTTTTCAAATACTCGAAGACACGCGCACGCATGTCAACTCACATATACCCATAACTATGTATACGTTCACACAGCCTTTCGAATACATAAATATGCAAAGCCGGCAGAAGACCGCATTTCTATAGATGTATATATCTGCACACGAGCTTCTATTCATTCACATGACCGTATCCCTGGCACGCTCTGGTGACTACGTTTTGTGTGTTTGTATGTACGTAGGAATAGTAGTACCCATTGCTTAACTGTGATTCACGGCCAGGATTAGAAGACTAGACTCGCCATAGCGACCCGAACAATCGCACGACTGTTTCAAAGACAACATATCATGAATTTAGTCACACTTTGTGACGCAGCAACTGGTAGTCAACTAGCAAGGGTAAATTGCTTGTAGTTGCAACTTTTCATGCAAACTCGCAGAGTTGCATATTGGCAAATTTTAAAGCCAAGTTTTGTAGAAAAACACCTACACAGGCCTGGTATCCCGGAGAGGCACAGCGAGTGTAGTATTGAAACAGATTTATATGTATATATAGAATGCGTCAACTCGGCTCGAAACTGACCATATATGGATCAGTTTACTATATTAAGACGAATCTCTTACGGAAAGCCAAAGTGGCCCAATCGAAGACGCACACCACTATGCAAGCATACATACACCAACATAAACCATCGCATAGATAGGTTTTTATACATAAGCGCGGATCACGCGAAGTTGTATGATTCTTTTGCTTATTCACAAAATTGCTGTAAATATACTAGAAGGACTATAAATGTAACTTTTTCAGTGAAGTACAAAACACAGTCGGTTCATGTGATCTGCATACGTTAAATATAATTCGATGAGCTGCTTGCTAAAACGGTAGCTGAACGTTTGATGCAGTTCGAAATCGTCGGTAATGTCGTGTAATAAGTACTATGAGATACTGATTGCTGTGGTTAGCGCTAGAGATACTCTGCGGCGGGCTTTAACAGCGTAGTACGATATCTGATGAAGAAGACTACGTATTGTAGTAGCTCTGTGTAAAATCTCAGTGTATAGCTTTATTTCACAATTACGATTGAGATTTCGCCATTGTTTCATCTGAGCTCTACTTGTCGAGTAATGTCTCGTCTTGTTCGATATTTTGACAGCTGTGGAGTATATATTTGAAACACTGCGCAATCTTCTGTGTTATGAGTCGAAATATCATATCTAGTTGCAAACATGCCAGCTGAGTATTTTTTGATTTGTTTGCTTTGTATTTTCGAATTCAGTACAGTCATAAGGCTGTTAGTTGTGTATGTATATAATGGTGATATCACTTCTGGGGCTTAATTCTGTGTAGCTCATGTCCGAGTACTCGTTAACTATAAAGATGGAGCTTCATCTTTATAGTTAACGAGTACTACGATTCAAAAGAGGTTTTATATTATTGGTTTTGACACCTTGAAAAGTATTAAGGTTTGTACGATATGTTCAGAATTACTATCTCTTATCTTGCTAAACTACAAACCATATTTTACAATCACAACAATTGAACATTATATATTTTCACAACAGAAGTATAATAAACTTCATGTAGTTTGAACAAAGGTTTTCATAGGTTACTGGGCTAGGAGCTTTTAATCACTGTTGATTACACTCTTCTAAAATGTCAGCCAATGATACATGTACCACAGCATCCAACATTCGGACTCCGGCGAGGTTGAAGGCGACGAACACAAAGACTCACTTAGTGAATTTCGCTTTGCTGCCGCCACCTCCAAAAAAAGCCCTAGGCGTACTCGAGACCATTGGAGAGGTTCCGGGAAGATTGAAGGAAAGTTAAGATTGTCGAACATATTGAACCTGGCGCTGGAGACTTGCATGATGTTATACTAGAATATCCTCGAGTGTCGAAAAAATATATTCCGTTCCACCGCCAAAATGGGGTTGCTACGAAATAAAATAGTTAGTCTCACAGTCAAATCGAACTTGCATGACGCTATACTTCAATCTCTTTGAGAGTGTCGAACGAAATGGTGATCTCAAAACAAATAAAAATAGTTTGTCTTTCAACGACAGTATGGACACGAATGAGATGAATGTTCGACATGGCCATATCAAACATCTATGTCACCAAAATCTCGATTTGGCTGCAGAACGAACTCCGTCGTAATGTGAGCGTATACGTGTTGTGTTCAACATTCGGTTTGCATGCATTACACTGCTCGAATTTTGATATTTTGAATCTCACTCAACCCTTATAAGGCGGCAGCCTCCCCTCCTGCTTCAGAGAGGTTCTTCTTGACACAGTGAAGGAAGTGGATTCCTTACCAGCAGGTGGGATACAATATCCCAATAGAATCTATACGTTCTTGGCACAGCACACATAGTTGGAGATAGAAATAAAAACAAGAATCGCACACGTGTGCAAATATGCCTTTATTCGTTTGGCAAGTTTGCATATGCTTACTAAGTTTTATGTCGCCGTTACGTATCAAATTTAGGCGTGTTACGTGATCTCGTTTTCTTCGAAGCCCAGCTCTTGACGAATAACAGCGCTCAGAATAAATTCAGATGTGTATACCGCAATCACAGAGTCAGCATCGGAACTGATCCAATCTTGATAGATACTGTAAGAAAAAGGTTGTAGACATGTGCGAGCCCAAATTAGTATAGTATCACCTGTATGCAAAGATTGCGATATCTGTTAGAAAAAAGAAAAAAAAGCATTATGAAGGATATGGTAGATACTGAAAGAAAAAGGTTGTAGACATGCGTGAGCCTAAAATAGTATAGTATCATCTGTATGCAAAGATTGCGATATCTGATAAAAAAACACAAGTAGTATGCAGAATATGGTAGATACTGTAGGTAAAAAGGTTGTAGACATTTGTGAGCCCAAACTAGTAAAGTATCATCTGTTGTCCAGATTGCGATATCTGTTGGAAAAAAACACAAGTAATATTTGTAATATTTGTGATAACGGTTGAGAACTTCCATTGACCACTACAGACGTTTTTACGTACAATCAATTTTTATGCAGATTATTCATGATGGACATTGTCCAAACCCAAACACATGCGTAAATTCATGACAGATGAGTATTCGTACAACAGAAAAGATGTGCCATCACAGACATGGATCCACATGATATAGCATTCATTGTACCCCACAAATCTGAGTGACTGAGCAATTTGAAACATCAAAATCTCATGAAAGTGAAATCCGCTCACACTTTACACGTGAGCCAAAATCTATGTATACTTTTAGAGAACTGAGGGACATCATTGCATTTTACCATGCTTTGGCCACATGTAACAAAGTGCTGATCTGGGTCGAAACTTACTATGGAACTGACAGTAGGATTGGAAATACACTTACTGCACATCCTTCCTATCGGCAATCACCAATATAGACAGGCCTGTCTCCATGATATTGGCCCTGAAGGGCGAGTTTGAAATCAAGTCCTCTTTTGTGGGGGGACTTGTTAGGATCTGCCGCATATATATGAGAATAGATTCACGGAATGAGAAGTCTGCGCAGTTTGTACTACACACAGAAAAGACATCAGTTCACCTCCTAGTTCACAAAGAGTTGCACGGGCCTTTTTTAATTAATTCAGGCCTGCATAAGGGGTGTAGATTACTTCTCTCGGTACAGGAGAGACGGTGATTCCCAGTGAGCCATATTCTCCGGCATATAGCGATTGACTAGCAGCCCTGCAGGCTCAGCACTAACCACACATACGCCATATTGCTTGGTTACGTTTAGGTTCACGGTGCACTCACTCATCGACACACTATTCACTATATCACAATCGCAGGTGGGCTCCAGGAACTCCTCACATACATCACCGCATTTAGTCAGGCACCAATAAGACATGTATAAATCTGATTAGTTACATCTAGTACACTCAGCAAGAAATAGGCATACGCCAACTAGCATGGCTTCAGGTACATCCGTTGTATACTTTCGCATCTACAACGTTACTCACTATCACACTCGTAGAACAAACACCAATCTGCATAGTTACACATAGCACACTCAGACATCAACCAGTCATGTACAACTCTGAATAGTAACACACAGCACACACATGCATCAACCCGACATATGCCAATCTGCATAACTACAAAACACATTCAGGCACCAATCAGATATACACTAATCTGTACAACTATCCATAGCACACTCATACACCAAGCATACATACACCTAAATACTAGCACAAATCACACTGAGGGACCAATATAAACCCGTCGGTATTACTACACACGTACCTTGCCCCCGGCGCTGATGATGACGAGATGCAACTGACTGGGAGCCGGCGAAACATTTGGAGTGATGTATATGGACACTCCTTCGAACAGCTGCATGACATGCAGAGCGTGTGGCAGGTTAGTGACAGACGAATAGGTTCTGAAAAAGTACCAGAAGTACTGTGATTAATAAAAGTAAGACTAGTTTAACAGATAGGTTTCGAAAAGTACTGGAATTCATCTTTGTGAAGGACTTGTTGATCACAAAGGAAAGTCACAGGTAGAGAGATTGCTTGGCGAGTCTATAATATAGAACATAATGTCGGGGAGGGACAACGAAACGCTAGCTAAGGCAGTATATATATATATATATATATATGTACATATATATAAATGCGTGTATATGTATATATATACATATACATACACACACACACACACACACACACACACACACACATATATATGTACATATATATATATTCGCTATTTAATTACATGTCTGTATATTTATCTCTCCCTCTCTCTATATATATATGTATATATATATATATATATATTAATATATATATATATTATATATATATACATACATATATATATATATATACGTATATAT